GTCGTAAAATGATTGGCATGGCCAAAAGTGAAAGCCAGCCATGCTCGTGGCTAACTATGCAGCCAACTCATAAAAATTGCAGCCAATAAAAGGCGACAATTGCTGGCACGGCACTTGAACCTGGTCGTGGCACTCGGCACTTGAACGGGCGGCATCGTTGTCTTCCAGCTTATCGCTCATCCGCCATCAGCAGTGGCTCAACGGGATGCAGTTTCCCATCCCCAACGTCACACTCTGTCATTAGACCGTCCGGTGACAGCTCATTGCTAATCCGTGAGGAGCACTTAGATGGGACACCCTTGATGCCAGTGGCACGACCACGCCCACGCCCCATCCGTCACTCTTCGAGAGGTTCAAGTGAATTATCCTCCAAGCTGACGTCAGCAGTGGGACACGCCTCCAACGGGGGGGGCGTTTGCCTGTAGCTTGTAGCCACCGCGATGACAAATTAAATGAAACGCAAAGCAAGTGCAGGACGAGTGCAGGCCCAGCGTTGCGGGAATGTCAAACGCGTTTTAGGGAACGCCCAAGTTTGTTTAACAGCCACTCGCAGGCAGGATGCGAGTGAGAGTGGGGGCCAAGTTAACGACGCCCTGCCACGCACTGCTCAATAATGCCAGCGGAAGTGCGGCGAGGGCCATTTTTCAATATGCGCACCGGAAATGACAGGGGACAAAGTCGTGCCAAGGACGACGTCCCAGCGCATACCAAAGCCAACACCTTCCACTGCAGCTCACGCCCAACAGAATCGGTATTTCACATGTGTGCCTTATTGCATTTCTCCCTTGACACCAACCGAGAATCGAACCGAAAGCCATTCCCTGCTGGGGCATGTGCGAAATGCGATAACTGTCAAGGTCAGCCAAATGTTAAATACGCATTAGTGGTCCATATTCAAATGCCACATGATACCCACAAAGACACAAATGGCATCCACACCATGCTCGTATATTTTCACTCATATCGAAGCAATTAAAGTGTCTTTAGCGCGGACTGTGGACTGCGGACTTGTGGGAAACTAGCCCAAGGGTAAACGATGGAATATTCCTTGGCCAAAGGGAGAGGTTTAACACAGTCGCTTCTGTGGCCTTCATGCAGGATCGGGAGAATATCTATCATGACTAATCAAAGCAAATACCCAACCTAGTAGTAGGGTATCCTAAAGTTGAGCTTCTCTTTCGGTTCTATTAACAACATACACGAAATCGTAAAACAATAGCCAGTGCTATCTGTGCTATATGGCCCTCCGACTGTCCCTGTCCACCAGGCAGTCTGTCCGTTCTGTTTGTGTGCTGTTTGAATTCCCAGGGCAAGCAAATAAGCAAACAAAACCAAAGGACGGACAACAGTCAGTCGTCTGACAGCAGCTGCAGAGTTTCCCGGCCAGCGGCATCTCTTCCAGCGATAAAACGCCTTCCTTGGCCAGTGCCTTATCAAAGCCGGGACACTGCTTAGCACTGCCACTGTGTGGCCCACAGACAGCAGCAACAAGCTCAGAGGAAAAGTATAAAATTACATTCATCCGTGGCGAATGAGCAACTTGAAGAAGGCGTTTAAAACATCGGGCGCGCATTCTGTTCTCCTTCTGTTCTCCGATAAAGAATGCTAGCTTTACAAAAACATTAGTTGAACGACCAACCCATTCGCAACAGCAACAATCGGGCACATACCACACGCACACAAAGCCACACACCCATAAAGATATAGATACAGATATAGCAGAGATCTATGGCCATTGTTTGAGCGTTTAGTCCGCGCCCGTTGTGTTTTTCCCCGTACTCGGAGTGCAGGAGGAGGAGCAGGCAAACAGAGCGAGACAGAGCTCTTCGCAGTCGCATAAATAAGAGAGGATGGCAGGGACAATGGAGTCGGGAGCAGGGCAAACATCCTTGACTTGACTTGCAACGGATGCCGCATTGCGGAGCGAAGCTAAAGGCTGACTGGAACTTGTCCAGGCTTCAGGCCTCCAGGCTCTGGAATCTGAGGCATGAAACTGTAATTTAAAAATACGAGTAGCATAGCGAATCATTGGGCACTTTTCATTTAAATTCCTATCCCAGTCTGTGCAGAGTTTTCCCAACTCCACTTCAACTCAATGGCAGCGGATTAATCTGGCCAAGAGGGACAACAAGTATAACTGCTACTCCAGACTTACTTAATTGCCATTCATTGGTCAATTACAGGGACATGACCGTGGGACATCGACATGTCAATTGGGCTCCGAGGATTTTTGCCCAAAAGCAATTTTCCACCCCAGCCACCACCGCAACCGCAGAGGGACGAGGGACGAACCACTTTCGGTGGCTGGGCTGCAATTGAAAAACAAGCTTTTGGTTTTACGGCGCTTTGTTCGCCTTTTGTCCGGAGAGTGGAGTCGCTATAGCTGTAGCCTTTGTTGGGGATTTGCCAGTGGTTCCACACGAGTGCTGCGGCGGCATGCGAACTAGTTAGATTAATTTAGCCAGAGTCACAAACACAATTACGAAGTCATTTCAATTTATTAAGCGAGTGGCACCCCCGGCAAAAAGCCACAGCCACAGTCAGAGCCACAGTCCCGTCCCGGATGAGGCTGCCCCTTCTTTGAGGGGGAGAGTATCCTGGGCTATAAACCGAAAGTGTATGAGCGATTAAAGGAGCTGAGGAGACGAGTCCGATGGCCTGCCAAAATGTTCGAAATCAATTTGGCGGCTGGGCTTTAATTTTGCTCCGCTTACTTCTAGAAGTATTTTGTTGTTGCAGCTAGCTTAGCGATTTGTCAAAGTGGATGAGACGGCACACAGCCCCCCCGCTCCATGCCCCTGCCCCATGCCGCCCCATGCCATACATACGAGTATTTCCCCCGAGTTGACTATTATTGAACGATAAATTGATTAGATATGCGTGCGAGAGTGTGACAACTTGCCTCGACTCGGTCCTCGGTCCTCGGTCCGTTGTTGCTGATGCTGCGTCTACTGATGCCACTGCTGATTCTTATTGCTGCCTCAAATTGCCATTTCAATGTTAATTTTATTAGGGTGTCAGCAATAAATTTCGTTCAATCTTAAATACCATAAAAAGCGTTACACTTCTGCCATACTGCCACACACATGCCAGATCCACTCTCACTCGCACACAATTTCCATTATCACCGAGAGCTTTGAACCTTATTCAAATCTCAGCCGGAAAATTATACCAAATATATGTATGTATTGGCATCTATATAGTACATAGAATATATGGAATATGCAGATGTGGCGGATACGCCCCCACAGACAGGCCACAAGTTATCCATCAAATGGCCGCACGACACTCATGTAAGCAGACGGTCTGCTGTGGATTCCGGCCGTAACCATAAACCGTTTTCAGATTTACATGCAGGCGGCGCATGTTTGTGGCAGCAGTTGTTGTGGCTGGGCTGTGAGTGCACAGTCCCCCCCTTTCCATCGAGTACCCATGGCCATGGGATGCCTGGACCACAGCACGGCACAGCACAGCACTCAACTAAAGTTTTGCAACGATTCATTTGTCTTTCTACTCGACCAACTGAAAACTTTGAAAACAATTATGCCCTGCCAAATGGCCAATGGAGACCCAGCTCCACTGCTGGCCAATTCAAACCAATTTCAGCATCGTTAAAGTCTCATTTTTAAGCCAAATGTGTCACAAAACTGCCTTGTTATGTCACATTTGGGTACATTGAACCCCAGCCAGCACCAGGAAGTCCAGCAAACAGAAACTCTCAACATGAAGAGGTCCTGGCTGAACAGGACAGGACAGCACACAAAGTGCACAGCTTGCCCAGTGTCTGTGAGTCAGGGAAAAGGACAAGAACCAGGCATCCGCCACCAGCCAGGGGAATGCAAACAAAAAGGGGAAGGCGGGGGCATCGGTATCACATCCCAGGGCCAAGAGGCAACCAGGCCAATATGGTCTGCGCATAATGAATTTATCAAATTAATCAAAATGGCGCTGTTCAGAGTGTCCCCGCACCGGAAGCGGGTGTTTATATGCCACAAACTGTGTGACGGGGGGTAGGAAATGCTCCCCCATCCGACGACTGCCCATGTAAATGTTTGCTGTGTCAGGCTGAGTGTGTTTGTACGAGCATAATATAATTAAGCGAAGCTGCGCGTCGCAGAAATGGGGATTTAATAAAGCCATTTGGCTGACGGGCAGCAGCATGGAGATGAGCAGCAGACGCCATCGCCATCGCCATCGCCATTGCCATCGCCATAAGAATAAACAGCAGAATGAGAAGCTTCTGGTGATAATCGCCGTATGTTCGGCGACAGTGGCTCGGGAAAGTATGCGACAGATGGTTAGGTTCAAATTTGTTAACAAATTATCAATATCAATACTCTCTATGAATGGGTTATATCCAAGTTTTCTGCTCTAAGCATTTCCTAGACCTTGAAGAACAGAACCCTGCTAACAATTAAAGCCCTGCCACTGCCACTGTCCAATTCCGGCCAAGTGCGGAATGGGATCGAATATGGGGGATGGGTGATGAGCTTGTTTATGGCGGATACTGGGGTGCCGGATGCTCTAATGTTATGTAAATGACAGCGCCTAATGAACTTTTCATTCATTATCGTTAGTTAGTTAGTTAGCCTGGTCAATGGCCGATTATTTCCTGATCCTGTGCCGGAGCCCGGGTTCTCCGACAGCGGGATACTTAAACACTAATCCCTAATCCCTTTGCACACTTTTACCACTTCAGGCGTGGCCGGACGACAACCGCAAAGCTCCTCTGATTGATTTGTCTAATGCTGCCGGATCCGGACAACAGAGACACCGTGGTGTACGAGTATCTGGATAGCCGTTGGACATCTTAATTTCATTAGCGCGTCTTTAAGTGCTCTCATAAACTTGCCGGAGGGGTGATTACAAGGGATTCGGTTTCGGTTTTGGTTTTGGTTTCGGATGCGGATTCCTTCCTTCCCATACCGTTCCGCTCCTACTTAATTGAACAGCGGGTGCTCTCCCTCGAAGGATTCGCGGCGATAATGTTGCGACTGTGGCCCATGTAATTCACATTACGAGACATACGCCCCCCGACGCAGGACGACGACACCGACATTGCCATTGGTGAGGGGCAGCCACGGCGTCGCTGTGGCCAGGACCGGGCAGCATCCACGGCAGACCAGCATTGGCATAGGCTTGAGGATTTGTTGGCTGTTGCTGCTGCTACCCCAGACCCCGGCTCAAGATGCTGCAACAGCAACACCAACAGCATTCCAAACAGCAGCATCCGCCGGCCCTGCTGCCGCCGCAACCCAAGCCAGGACGACGTCCCAGCAGGCTGGGCTATCCCGTGGCGCTCCTAGTGGCGGCGATGGCGCATACAACGCAACTTATAGTATTCCAGCCCTCGGCTACGAGTCCGCCCACACCAGCAGCGGCCACAGTGATAATTCCAGCGCAGCAACAGCCGATTCCGATTCCGATTCCGACTCCGAGGAGGATGCTGAGCCGATGCTGCCACAGATTCCGCCGTATATACGCACAACCGCCATGTTCTTCTGCATAGCCATCATGCTGCTGGGAGTTGTAGGGAACGTGATGGTGAGTCCATCGAATGCACCTCTACGGCATGCCCATTCCGTGTCCTTTTTAATGTGTATTTGCAGGTGCCCATTGTGATTATTAAGACGAAGGATATGCGCAACTCCACAAACATTTTCCTCACCAATCTCAGCATCGCCGACCTGCTGGTGCTCCTCGTCTGCACGCCCACCGTCCTCGTCGAGGTTAACACGCGCCCAGAGACCTGGGTACTTGGCCACGAGATGTGTAAGTGGCTCCCGGTTGCTCCATTCGTTTCTGTTTACTTTCCCACAGCCTAATTAACTGATTTTGTGCTCTCTTTTGCTATCGCAGGCAAGGCCGTTCCGTTCGTTGAGCTGACGGTGGCCCACGCCAGCGTTCTGACCATCTTGGCCATCTCATTCGAGCGCTATTACGCAATCTGTGAGCCATTAAAGGCCGGCTACGTCTGTACCAAGGGGCGTGCCATCCTCATCTGCGTCCTGGCCTGGGGCATTGCTGCGCTTTTTACGAGGTAAGCGTCCGCTCCTCTCCGTACCTTGTGGACGGTGCAATGAACTCTGTTCTGCTGTCGGTTTTGTGGCTTTCTTAAAGTAAATTTAATTAAATATTACCATTATAATTTTCACAAATTATATTTAGGCGAGATATCTCATTGCATGCTCGCTCTTTCTCTCTCTCTCTCTCTTTATATATTTCTATATCTCTTACGATCTCTGTCTTTGGTGTTGGCTTTCTTATATACACATCTGTACTGTTTTATCCTCCATTATATATAGATCTACTCTTAGTTTATGGCTTATGTCCATTTATTCATTTTGGGCAGCCAAGCATTAAGTTCCTCGCTCATTAATTATAAGTGTCAATCGTCGTCATTTTTAATGATTTGTGTTTTGTTTTTGGGTTTTCTCCGATTTTTTGTCTCCATTCCTGATTTCTGAAATGGTTTTTGGTTTTTTTTTTGGTCTAAGGCATTTGGTGTTTGGTGTTTGGCCTTTTGTTTGCCATCCGCGTGTCCATTTACATGCTAAACATTCGACTGTTGGCCCACTCTCTCTCTCCACCTATCTATTTCACTTCCTCCTTCTCCTGCCATCCACATCCCATGTATCCTACTCATGGACATCTCCCATTCCTTCCCCCTCTTTGGTCATTGCGCTATTCCTTCTCATTTAGGGAGGCTCTCAAGTTCCGTAACGGCCATGCTTTTGTCCCGTTATCAGCCCCCTGTCATCTTTAATAAGCACCGATGTCCGCTATCATGGAATTTCATTTCATTGACACTTTATTATTGTTTTTTCATGGCCACATTCCCAGTCGCAGGCACAGTCCTCAGTCACATCTAAGGAAGGCCGGCGACCCTTTTTAATTTTGCAAATCTTGCCGCGTTCATAACAATGAACATTTTTGGGGAAAAAACTGACCCCACCGCATGGGGAGTGGTCGTGGGCAGGGTCATGGCTGGAATCGGGATAGGCCTGCCTCCAGGCGTCTGCCCATTAATTACGCCACCCAAGAAGCCACCCCAAGGCCGCAGCAAACATTTTAAAACCCATTCAAACGGAGGCACCACAAGGCGTCTACAGTGACGCACGTCCACGGCCAAAGCGCTCGGATCATCCCAAGCAGAAGCCACTGCCTGTTGACTGTCATATCTGTGTCTAGCCAAAATATTTAAATCGATTTGGATTACTTTAACCCGCAGAAAGAAGACAAGTTTTCCATAGAAAGCTGGTTCTTAAATGTATATTAATGATGGTAGTGTTCTGTGGTGTATGTAATTCTCATGATCATCATTTCATATGACACTCTTTCCTATTAGCTCTCTCCACCTCCTCTCAATCTCTCTCACTCTCTATACATCTCACTATTTCCTTCCATTTCCATCCATTATCCGCCTCCCCATGACCCCGCAGCCTGATTACGTTTCTTGTTTGCTTTTTTCTCTCCCCCCATTTTCCATGTAGCCCCATACTGTGGGTGGCCGAATACAAGTTGGCCGAATATATTGATGGATCATCGGTGGCCGTTTGCCTCACGCAGGCCATCACCGATTGGACCATAGCCTTCTTTCTGATGACCATAACCGTGTTCTTCATAATGCCATTCCTGACCCTGGTCGTGCTGTACGGCATCATTGCCAAGAACCTCGTCTCCAATCAGAGCACCATGCTGCGCGCCCGCCCCACCAAGCCGGAGCTAAGCCTACGGGCCCGCAAGCAGGTGGTCCTAATGCTCGGCGCCGTCGTACTCTCGTTCTTCGTCTGCCTGCTGCCCTTCCGCGTGCTAACCCTCTGGATCATACTGAGCACGGACCAAGCGCTGCACGAGATTGGCCTGGTGCGCTACTACAGCCTGCTCTACTTCTGCCGTGTGATGCTCTACCTCAACTCGGCCATGAACCCCATACTCTACAACCTCATGTCCACCAAGTTTCGCAGGGGCTTTGCGCGGCTCTGCCACGATGCTGGCCGTGTCCTGTTGAAGTTGCTCACGCTGGGACGGAGCAGCGACGGCGTGGGCGGGTCTCGCGGACGCAGTGGCACCATCTCCACGGGCCTGGGCACCAATACGAACACCAACTCGTCCAATGCCACGGCGGCCACCAGCTCTAGCATTTTGTCACGCAGCTCCAATCGACGGTGCAGCGAGGACATCAGCCGCACCCGCCTGAGGATTGAGCTGCAGCTGCCCTGCGGCAGTGATCTGGAAGCCATGGCCATGCTCCATCACTCGGGGACGGGCAAACGGATGGCCAGGCGGGAGAGTGATAGCCGGCTAATGGGCTTGAAGAACTCACATCCGAATCCGAGGCGCCACAAGCCTCAAATCAGTTTCGACGAGGAGACACTGCGCGATGCAAAGGAAGCTGAAAATCTAGCCTGAGTAGACGGGACAATCGGCGGCGGGGGAGGAAGGCGTGAAAAATCGCTTGTAACCCGTTTACACATTCGCTTCACTTGACTGGAATGTGTCGAAGGCGGTTTGTTCTGATCCTGGTCCCCGACACGCCTGCACAAATTGTATTTTGAACGCTTTTTGCAACCATAATCGATTCCATCGAACCGTTGACAGCCAGTCCTGCCAGTCCTGCCAGTCCAGCCAGTAGTGCCTGCTCCTTGGACATTTCCGTACAAAAAACAATCAATTTTTCGGGCTATTAAACTCGAATGAATGTGCCAAAGATAAATAACAGCAACGACAGCCAAACAGCAGCACTACACCACTACAACTACTGGACGGAGAAAGGGCACATCTCAACGGGAGAATGGTGACGGACCGGGGCTGCCTGCGTCTGGGGCCGCCATTAAACGACGGGCTCTGGAGGAAAGGCAAATGGAAATGGCTTAATATGCGTTTGGGAACCCCATCAGAGCGGCGGATAAACATGATTTAGGTGTATTGAAATAGTTTCCTTTCGTTAAGGCCGTTTGCCGCCTGCCAATCGACGGCCATGTTTGGGCCCATTCCAAAATGGCTGCCATTACACGGGCAGGCCATAGGAAAAATGAGCGAAAAAAACTGTTGCCTACTTTGCTGCGGCCCAAAAATAAAATGTTCACACATCCGAATGCAAACACAGTTGTATATACAAGCATACACATCCACACATAATGTTAAACCCATGCATAAATACGTAAATATTTATATATTATTTAAACAATACATATATATATATACTCGGCTTATGAATATACTAGAACCCACACACACACACACACACCCACACACGCACGCATATATAGCAAAAGTGACGAGCTTGTAAGTAAATAAATTTTCTATGACAACAACTCACTCAATGGGTCAAGGAAATCGGTTATATCGGAACATACCCCATGCCTGAAGGAATCTATTCTCTCGTCTATGGGTCGGCCATTGAGGAGGGCAAAAGAATGTAATTTATTGTTCAGGAAATCGGACAACACAACTGCCAATCTTCTGTAAATATAGATACTTGTACATACGTAGCATTGTAATTTGTTTTCGTAGCTTTAGAAGTAGCAATATTATATGACGTATGTAGATTTCCTGTAATTTTCCTATACAACACCACCAAAGTAGATAGAGTCCCCGCATAAGCCCCTCGTCGTTTGACGGGTATGAGCAGACGTTGCCGTTTCCGTTTCCGTTCTGATTAAGTTGAGTGCTGTGCTTCCTTTGAAAGTTTTCTAGTACTTAGCCCCAGCTGCCGTTGAGTGGTTTTTAAATATTTGTTTGTTTCCCTCTCGCAGCGCCGTTAAAACTTTGCAGACAACATCAGCAATAATACGAACAATACCATTCATATTCACCCTGAAATAAATAAATGTATATGATTCTTGCAGTCCCATCATCGCCATTTCCAGCTACAGCGTAGAGCCCTATGGAGACGGCACCGACGCCCCAGTCTGCACCACAGCGGCCGATGGCTTCTGGCCGATCTTTTACTTTGTGGGCAGTATCACGGTGTTCTTCTTTCTACCCTTCGGCATCCTGGTCCTGCTGTACGCGGCCATTGCCTACAAGCTGCTGCGGCCAAACAATGCCTTCCATAGGCCCACCTCGCCACAGCCGCAGCCGGCGACTGCCACGGCCACGGCCACGACAACACCCAGCACCAAAGGCAACAGCCATCAGCAGAGCAATGGCATGAGGAAGCACCGCAAGCAGGTGATTTTCATGCTGGTGGCGGTGGTCTCCAGTTTCTTTGTGTGTCTCCTGCCCTTCCGAGCATTCACGCTGTGGGTGATCATGGCCAGTGGGGAGGATGTTGAGCGCCTGGGCATCGCAGGCTACTACAATCTGCTGTACTTCTCGCGATTCATGCTGTACCTAAATTCGGCCATGAATCCCATCCTCTACAACCTGATGTCGTCCAAGTTCCGGAGCGGCTTTTGGCGGCTGCTGCTTACATGCCTGGGGCAGAGGCCCAGCCATCATCATCGCCATAATCACTACCACCAGCGGCAGCAACCGACGGCAGGCGGCAGCATGCGAAACACTTTGCGAAGACAGGCCAATGATGCTGACGAGGGAGCTACTTTGGCCGGCCGCACCGGTGGTACCCGGCCGCCTCACCGAACGTTGCGTCGCGAGGCCACATTTCTGATCAACTCCATATCCACGTCTTCGGGCACGGATCGCACAACCTCGTCCTCCGCCTGGCGAAGCAATAGTCTGTCCACTTCCGGGCTGGGCGAGCGCGAACGGGGCATCCTGGGTGCCGCCATCATAGGAACTACCGCGGCGACGGTAACAACCGCTTGCCTGCAGGAGCGTCGATCCAGCAAAACCTGAACACTGCCCTCCCATTGAATTGTACGAGTATTTTAGTTGAATTCCAACAGCAAATAGTCATAGTATTTAGAAGAAATTTCGTTGTAAAGACTGAAGTACCTCAGAAGAAGTCAATAAACGCTAGAGAATGTTTTTGAAACCATGTTTTTTCGTTTTGTTTGTTCCGGCCTTCACTTTGTCCCCACAGCTACAATTGGGCAATAAAACAAACCTTTCATAGGCATCGTTACAGATTTTATTGTATTTAAGCGAAATATAAAATCAAATTCAGGCGAAAGTGAAAGCCGAAACTGAATGTTATGTATGTGTATGTGGTATGTAAGTAATGTTTTCTATGCAGTTGTGTGCCTTGTTCCCAAACCTTTTAATATTTTACGCTCACGCAATTTTTATTAAACTTCATCGTTATATCGTCATTATTACACTAATTATGTGCCTACACAAATCCATCGCGTCACTCGAAAATACAAATACACACAATTTGTTTTTGTTAATGCCAAAAGTGATCGTTCTTTTGATTTACATAAAATTTGAAATATGACAGAGACAAGTGGCGAGCACCATAGATAAATATGTTTCAAACACACACACACGCACACATATACAAAGTACGTAGTTGCAAGGAGCAGCAGCCTCGTACAGATGGTGGCTCTCCCCTCGCGTATCATCATGTATGCTGGAGTGGATCTATATCTGTGCATGTGTGTGAATTTTAGTTAGTATCGTTTCGCGCTGCTGTGATAAGTAACTCTCTTAAGTTAGGTTAGATTTAGATTAAGTTAATTGCTACACCGTTTTGCATCTTTGCACTACTTATGGAACAGAACGGTTCAGAAATCAGAAAGACGGTTAGTATCAGTAATCGGCCATGTGAATGGGTATGGGTGTGTTCGGGATGTTTGGAGTTTTGTTGGGTTGGCTACATACCTATTACATATATGTATGTATGTATATTTGCTTAAAGTGTGTACTCTCGCGTCCACGGATCGGAATCATACAAACGCATCTACTACTCAGTATACTCAAACGCATCCTCATATCATTAAGAGCTATTACAGAACCGATATTATAATTAAGGGTTTGTTATTACGCTTTCGTTATTCCTTTTATTGTTGTTGTTGTTGTGTTTTCCGTTTTAATTTATTATATTTAAATTTTGTTTAATTGTATAATAAAATAATGATTCACAATCAGAGTTATTCAGCAGCAACCAGAATTGGGTTTTTCCACTGGACGTCCTTGATCGATTTTCACTTTGCTAGCGTTGTCGGTGGCGCTGGACGGCGGTCCGACGCGATTCTTGATCTCAGCCGCCATCGTCATGAAGGCCTGCTCCACGTTCGTGGCGCTCTTGGCCGAAGTTTCAAGAAATGGAATGCCTAACTGAGCTGCATACTCCTACAGTGGCCAAAAATTCAAAATCCAACACAAATACAACAAATGAGATAAGAACATTGGGGTTTTACTCTTGTATAATACGCACCGCAGCTGTGGTATGATCAACAACTTTTTTGGTGGTCAAATCGCTCTTGTTGCCCACCAGCAGCTTGTTGACATTCTCGCAAGCATATCGTTCGATTTCCTCGAGCCATTGCTTCACATTGTTGAAGGACTCCTGATCCGTGCAGTCGTATACAACAATGATACCATGAGCGCCACGATAGTATGAAGAAGTGATGGTACGGAAACGCTCCTGACCAGCAGTATCCCACTGTAAAGAGTCTTATATTAGCCTAAGTTTCAATACAACTTACAACACGTGCTTACGATTTGCAGTTTAATGGTCTTTCCGTCAAGTTCTATGGTTCTAATTTTCTGATGAAGAGATAAAAGGTTTTATTAGACACACGCTAGCTATTTTTTTTATGTTTCGATAAAATACTTACAAAATCTACACCGATTGTGCTGATATAGCTTTCTGTATATGTGTCATCGGCAAATCGCAGCAGCAGACAGGACTTTCCAACGCCGGAATCACCAATCAGCAACAGTTTGAAGAGATAATCGCTGTAGAAGTGAAGAATATGCAAAGTCTTAATATTCATGAGGGTATCACAAAACGCCACAGTGTGTGTACATATATTAAGTCTGAGTTATCTTATCGATGTAGGGTACCCAACATCAACCCCCAATTAAAAACCAAATGAGCATTTTGATAAAGCTAAACATCTAAATATCTCGTAACTCGTCACTCGCGATGCAGTGATAGGACCAGAGATTCCATAGCTCAGGAGACATCTCAAGTTCAATTGTTTTCAAGTAGGAACCCAGCAAGGCAATTAAAGCCAAATAAAAGAGGTTTTGATTACGTAGCAGCGGGGTGAGAGTGCGAGAGAGCGAGGGCAACAACAGCAACACTACAAAAGCAGTCAAACAACAACAAGGCGTACGCGAGAGGGGTAGGAGACTCTCTCTCTTTCTCTCTCTCTCTCTCTCTACGCAGGTGACTCATCCGCCCCACGAATCAGCCAGCCAGTCAGCCAGCCAGCCCGCCATCCAGTCCAGTCCAGTCCAGTCAGTAGCTGAGCTCCAGGCAGTGCTTGGATAATGGAATATGGAATAGATTGGATGTGCTGGCCGAATCAGAGGCTGAGAACCGACTAGAAGCAACAACAATCAACAATATTTTCTCTGTGGCGTACAAAGTTTGCCACTAGAGTGCGCCCGTATGGGTGCACAAATATATATGCATGTGATGTGATACATCCCTTTCTGGTTTTAGGGCTTGTTTTACTTTCTACCAAAATCGAGTGCTTTTGGAGTTGCCAACGCCAGGGCCAGCCCAGCGCTAAACAATGCTAGAAAAAAGGGAGTGGGCTGTGGGATGGGAGACGACTAGCGGACGTAGCAAAAATGACGTCGCAGAAAAAAAATGATGAAAGCAACGATTATCGAACGCGAGAGTGTAAAAATGTTTCAATGAAAAATAAGTCAATGGTCTCCACCGCACTGGTGCGCAGTTTATGCATGTGACAACTTACTATTCGGGATTCACAGATGACATTTTGGGTATTTTTCACAAGAATATATATTTGCCACGAACAAATATTCGATTCGATTTCTTCTCTTGCCTGGCTGCTTTGCGTTGGCTGTTTCTTCGACTTGCGCGGTCTGCTTGCTTCAATTGTATCACTAAATTGCACGCACTGCTCTTGCACTATTGCTATTGTATGTTTTGTAACTGGCTATTGTATTTATTGCAATGAATTTATGGGAAATTGCGTTTATTTCCACAAATTCGACGGCCGAGAACGAGAACAATGGCGACGGAAAAAATGACGAAGTGGCATTAGACTCCAGTGTTGGGAAACGCGTTAGGACCAGGGCTACACAAAACAGAGCAGTTCCATCGCAATGCAGAGATGTGTGGGCGGGTACGACTTATCTGACCCGACCCGACCCGCCCCCCGATAACAAACGACTTGACTTTTTGCACTTGCGTGCATTTAATCTCTTATAATACATTATTTGATTCTAAACGCGGTATTCAACATTTGAGAGTTTTTTTTGTTTGCATAGAGAACACATTACAGATAATAATAATACATACATAATAGTATATGAAAGAAGATTCGATAAGCGGGTATAACGCCTACCCACACGGGGGATTATGGGAATGCATCGTTCTAATGGAGATGGCTATCTATTCCAAAGAGTTTAATGTAAGCAGCTGTTTGAGCACTTTCGTCTGTGAAGTTTCCCGGATCTCGCCGGCCAAAAACATCTCATCCACAACACTGTAGACCTTGTAGAAATTGAAGACGAGGTCCAGCTCGCACACATTATGGAAGTATTCATTAAGCACTTCCACAAAGTTGTGGATGGCTTCCAGATAGCACAAATTGTTATCATTGACGTCCACGCAAATGCAGAAATATAGACCCGCATATCGTCTGTAGACGATTTTGAAATTACGAAACTGTGGAGTGGGTAAAAGGTTAGATTAGGCCTCGACGCCCATATTTTCATCCTGGCATTCATTACCTCTACGAAGTTGGTGTGCTTGGCATCACGCACAGTGACCACTGCGTGGACCTCCTCAATAAGTTTTTGTTTTTCATCGTCATCAAAGTTCATATACCATTTCGCCAGGCGAGTCTTGCCAGCACGGTTTTGTATGAGTATAAAGCGTATCTGGGGGACCACAAAAAGTTTAATTTATTGCGAGCAAGATACTATCAATGGTTTTACCATTTTCCAGAGTCTGCGCTGGTAATTACTTGAGTAATTACTTTGGTATTTACAATTTAAATTTTCAGCGACGGAAGCGAAAAACTGATTATGAGCAAATTGTGTATCACTAATTCCAGGGCTACAGCGTGAAGCAAAACAGCTGTTTCCTGAGCACCAGTGTGGCAAAATGTTCGCTTATTCTGGTTCTGCGCCAGTTGGCAGCGCCACTCGCGCTGCGTTACGAAGTTTCACTTTTATATTTGTTTTGTCACTATTCATTCACTATTTGAAGCTAGTCAGTCACCAAAAAAATGTTGGCGTCGCGATTGAATCACCTAACTTCACGCCTCCAGGTGCTGCGCAGGTGCTCCACCACGCCTGGTCGCCAGCAGAAGGAGAAGCCCGTTGAAGTTCACGATCCTTTGCAGGCAAACGCCTTGAAGGAGCAATGCATTTTAGTAGACGAAAATGACAGAGCCATAGGATCAGTATCCAAGGCAGACTGCCATAGAGTGCATCCACAGACTAAAGACGTGAAGCTGCATCGCGCGTTCAGCGTATTTCTCTTCAATGCCAAAGGTGAAATGCTGGTGCAAAGGCGTTCAGTTCACAAGGTGAGTACTCGGAAATTCCCATTAAATTCATTAACATGAATCGTTTGGCAAGAGCAGATTACCTTTCCCAATACATATACAAACGCCTGCTGCAGCCACCCGCTTCATGAGATTGAGCAGGAGCGTCAGGAGTCCAACGCTCTGGGTATCCGACTGGCTGCTCAGCGTCGTCTGAACTACGAGCTGGGCATACCAACAGATGAAATCCAGCCGGAGGACTTTCACTACCTCACGCGTATCCACTACGCCGATGCGGGCGATGGTGTTTGGGGTGAACACGAGATCGACTACATACTCTTCCTGCAGAAGGATGTAACGCTGAAGCCCAACAGCAACGAGGTCAGCGAGGTGCGATTCTTGAAACGCGACGAGATCGACGACGCAGTCTCAAATTTCAGCGCCCCATTGACCCCCTGGTTTTCCCTCATATTGCGTCACCGCCTCAAACAATGGTGGGACAACTTGAACGGGTTAAAACAGTTCGAGGACTTGAAAAACATACAACGCTTTTAAATATGCACTCTAAATATGCTGTGCTGACGAACCAAAAATACAAGTATAACCAATGATCGTTTGTTTGGTTTTCAAATTCTCTTTATTCAAATGGAAAATAGTATGTGGTGTGTGTGTGTGCCTGAGTGCGGACAATGGGCACAATAGCGGATTTTTATGCAACCTCCGTGAGTTGATTCAGTCCAGTACAACGGTTTTGTTTTGTATATGTAAATATAACAAAATATAATATGTGTGTAGGCATAGGATATTGAATATGCTTTAACCTATGTGGTTTAGCTCTTAATATGATCACATCACGTTTCCCATAATCATCATCATCATATCGCATATAGTAGGCGAACCTCGGGAGGTCCGCAATAAACAACAAGAATAAATATGTACAAAAAAGAAGGACTACAAACTAACAAGAGACAAGAACTATAAATATGAATCTTAATCTAAGTACAGATGAAACAAAGACAAGCTGCAGCCTTTAACATTATCGCTTTCGAAAGCTATATAGCTATATATCTGTAGTTCGAAGCGCGCGCTTCGAAGCGTGAAACGCCGACCCATCGCAAATTGATTTGCTCACAAGGGTCTAGCGTTTCACTTGGCACCTACCTTGGCACCGTTTTCTCGGGTATTCAAGTAAATAAAGCATCTGCTTAGGAAATTCCAACAACTTAAAGCTATACTTGTGCAAATTTCGATCGTCAATTTGCACCAGTATGAGTATGGTAAGGGGTGGAGCATGCATATGGTGTGGTATACGTAGTTCTCGCATGCAATGGGTTCGTAATTGTGTAGGTGTATCGTTATATGTGTGTATATCAAGATGATCGGATCATCAAGAATTCGATTAGGGGTTAAGGCACATAAATGAGTCTATCGTGAATCTCAGGCTCGTTGAAACTGTTCGCAAAGGTCAGGTCCTTGCTGGCACACACTTTTTCGTTCAGTTCCTCTGGTGGGGCACGGCACCCTTTTTAGGACAAACCGAAGAGCTTCAGGGCATTGAAGGCAGTGGCCAAGGCCACCTCATCGGGCGTTTTCTTCATGAATGCGGCTATCATTTCCACAATGGCTGGCAGACTGCATGGCTCGTTCCGTTGGAAGGTACAATATCTGAACAAGAATTTCGGTAAATTAGCTGGAAGTACAAAATAAGCAAAAGAATAAATCCATTACCTGTGTAAGTACAGCAAAGAGCGTTCGGTTATGGCAGTCTTGACATGTTGCGGTAGCTTGGAAGCCCTGGTGTTTGGATACATGAACGGAGCATCCGTCTCAACCAGCAATCTATCTAAAGGCAGTGTGCCATTTTCCAGCAGCCTGCGTACGCCCGTGTCCGATTTGTCCTTGCACAAGTAGCCGGTTAAACTGATGTAGAACCTCCGGTCCAAGTACTTTAGCGCCTCCTCGGCAGTGCCCATGAAACCTCTGATTATCACAGGCGGTAGATTCTCGAATCTGCAATGCGATGGATGGGGTTAGAAACGTGGGGCTGGGGCTTCATTCGTGGGCATACTTGTCGAGTATTTCGAGTAGGTCTTTCTGAGCCGACCGCTCATGGATTAGCACAGGTTTATTAAGCCGAATGGCCAAGTGCAATTGCTTGGCGAAGATCTGTTTCTGGGCGTCTGGTTCGGAGAAGTCGCGTTGGTAGTCCAGGCCGCATGGACCCACCGCGACGCACTCCTGTGCTTGGGCGATGTGCTCCAAGTCAAACCATGTGGACGGCTCCTCCACAATGGACTTGGAGTCGTGTGGGTGTATGCCAGCAGTCGAGTAGATAATGTCGGGATAAATGCGCGAAAGGCGCAGCGCTTCCTTGCTTGATTTGACCGAAGTGCCGTGTACCATTAGTTTCTGAACACCTGAACAAAAGAGACCAAAGAGAAAGTTAGTCATGCCATCGAAAATGCACGGTGCACGGCTGCACTTTGCCTACGGCTATGCCACATACCTCTACTCTCGCACACACACACACACACACAGACACGGACGCACACATGTTGCTTATCGCTTGACCTTCTGGCGCCTCTCAATGCGTGCCTCGCCCAAACACAAAGACAATTTCCCCGCACAGCCGTCTTATTCTTTTTCTTTTCTGGCTCTTCTTCAATCGACATACCCACACTAGTACTAACCTGCGTCTCTTGCTCTTTGAACGACGGAATCCAGATCACGGCTATACTTTTTGTTGGTCAAATTAGCCCCCACATCGATGACAATTAGGTTCTCAAAGCAGTGCTTCATGCTGTCATCCATGTCCAGTTGCTCCTCCAGCAGTGGTGCTGGAGTGGCGGCCACCTCGGGAGCTGTTTGTTGCTGTTGTTTTTCCATAATTTCAATATTTGGACCAAAATAGCCAATGACGCAGACGACTGTTTTGCTGGCTGTGTGCGTGTGTAATTCAATTAGTTTTCGTTAGCACAAGGAAACGCGACGGTAGTGAGAACCGTGAAATATATATATTTAATTAGGATTTCGTTGCAATTTTGAAGAGTATACAAATTAATTAATTAACGGATTAAAACAGTTAAATTAGAAAAACAAATCCCGACACGACTACGACCAGTGTGACTGCTGTGTACCCACTGATAAAATATACCGTCTGACCTACCGAAATATACCAAAATATATCGTCTCATTTTAAAAATATTCCGTAAATATACTGACGAATTCAAGTTATATTATACATATTACTCGTTTTTGATATTCCGTCGAATATTACTAGCTATATGGAACTCTCAGCCCTGCCCACATAATTTTATCCAATTAATTTACCTATTTTCTACTCGAATGGTTTATTTAAAATACTTGCTTTTATTGGTTTTTGCCTGAAACAAGATTTAAAAATGTTCAACAAAAAAACAGTCCCAATGTTGTCCTTTCAATGTTGATGGTATTTGAAGACTTGTTGCTTGTCAACCGGTAGTATGGGCATTTGTATACCCTATTCCGTTAATATAATAATAAATTCGCGACTGCTAAAATGTTAATCTCTTAAAATCTTTCACCAACGGGCTTGATCGTCAGTTCATGAATCTGCACATTTGGCGGTGTTTGGATGCAATAGGTCACTGCATCGGCCACATCCTCCGCTCTCAGCATTGGCATGGAGTTTGCCAGCTCCGGGGAATTCTTGTCGAAGATTTCTGTGTCCACAACACCAGGACTGATACTCTGGAGATGGTAATAAAGGTAACAGATATCCGGATAATACAAAAAGCATACTCACAGTAATCTTCGTCTTGGTTCCTTTATTGATGAATTCTTGTCGAAGGACTTCAGTTAACGCGGTTATAGCATGCTTCGAAGGTGCATACATATTGAACTGAATCCCATCCACCATTGGCACAATATGCCCGGCCAGGCTATTTATCAGCACCACATGACCATCGTTCACTTTTCTCCGCTGGAGCGAAAGAAACGCTTCTCGTGTACACCAGGAAACACCGAGCAAATTAGTGTCCAATATAGCACGAAGAGCTTCCGAGTTGCCCTCATCGGTGATGTTAGTCCTACGTACTATGCCGGCATTGTTGATTAGTACGTCGGCCCCGCCCAAAGTCTGTTCGATCCAAACAAAGGCGTCAATTACCTCCTGTTCTACACCGACGTCGCACTTGCGGCCATGAAAATTAGCCACTTGATCGACTGGCAGAGAAGACTTTAGCTCCTGCAGGCGATGCTCCCGTCGCGCCAATCCCACGACGATCATTCCTTTGGATACTAGATCTTTGCAGCAGGCTGCACCGATCCCAGAACTGGCCCCGGTGACAACAGCAACGCGATTTAGCCAGCGGTTCATGTTATTTTCTTGATTTTTGGGTGTGTTCCAGGTCTAAATGCACAGCTTAAAGTAAGGTCTAGCGGATCGAACAGGTGTATGTACATATATGTTTACACCCTAAAAATGGCCATAGTAGTATCGTATTTTACTGAAATACCGAACAATGATCAGCTGATTACAGATGTAAACAAGAGAATAGGAACAAAGAAAAAATAACTATCTTTTAGTATATGGGCCCTTTGCTATTAGTAGAAATAATGGAGAAAACAGTAGTACGCAATGATTGCTGATAAAAATCCAATATTTGAATTTAACGGTTTTTACGAAAAACCATTTATATCGATATCGGAATGGTGTATTTATTTGGTACATGCCCACTCGATTACTACTCGATATGTTATATGGCTGTTATTTTTGTGACCTTTTTTGCCATTTCACTTAATTTTGAAAATACAGTTTTCATTGCACTAAGCTTTACAGCTCACTTAGCATACAGTGTATAGATGTGTCAGTTCATACACCGAACATTTCGCAAGCGAACTTCTGGATCCCTGGGTCTTAGTCTTAGGCGTTCCGCTACCGGAACTGACTGGAAAAAATATCCTTGATCCTTAGTCCTTGATAAGGACTTCATCTGATCAAGGATGTTATTCCGATCACAGGAATAAAAACCAGTATACCAGTCGGATAGGACTACGTCTGTAGGGGGAATATCGGATACGACTCGGTTTGTGGGAAAGTGTAGGCTACATAAGTCCTCTGTTAAGGAAGATACATATATAAAAGATATATTAAAATACATCCACAAACACTGATTTTACTTACGCGTCTAGAAGCTATGACTATGGCCATCAGCAGGACAGCCAGTGGCTGTCCCAGTCCAGACGGAGCACATCCATCGGGCTGGCTGGTGGTATCCGAATACCAGATCCGAACATTGGCTGAATGCAATTATTTCTATATAATTAACTTATCAATAGCTCAATTGGGTGCCAGATTTAAAATACCAGATGATGGTTTATTTATTATATATATTTATTTGTATTATTTCTGCTAACATGCATGTTTCTTTGGTGTTGGTTGTACGCGATAAATATACATATATGTATCCATAAATACATACATTCACATAAATAGATACTGTGTTTGCATAATGTCAATTTGATTCTTGAACCTGTTAACGCGCAGATTTGGTGTTTTTTCTATTTTCCATATCGGTATATAACGAACATAATGCACATATAATGTATGTATGAAGTTTTGATTATGCACTACGGTTTAAAACTTTAAAACCTAAAAATCAATTTGGTTTCTTTGATAAATATATATTTTGGTTTATCCACTTTGCCCTAATACTTTCACGTTCGTCATCTTTTGCGTGGCTGATTAAGCGGTAAAGGACATTTCTATTGCGCGCCTTTACATACTTGCAGAATATCATAAGTATGTCATACGTATAAATATTGGGGTTTGGTTTGAATACTCGTATATGTAGTTTTGTTGCACACAACAAATTTGTTGATAGCTCGTTATATAAATGTAATCTTTAGCTTAATATTTGGTGTTCTTTTCTGTTGGGGTTGGGGTTGGGAATCGGGCTAGCATTTACTGCTGTTTCGAGCACGAGAATATGCGTTGTTAAAACTATATAAATACTTGTATATTTGTAATATATTATTGATATTCTTCTTTGTAGATCTTGACTTGCATTAAGCGCTGGAGTTTTGTACAGGCCTTACCATGATGGGATGGGCTTTAAGCTTTCCCGCAAATCCCAAAAAATGAATTGGAACTCACCCATACAGTTTAACTAGTCGTTCGTTGATGGAATAGCATCGTTCAAGCGTGACAAAACTCTACAAAACAGCGCCTAATACCATCGAATTATATAAAGATATATAACATATGTTTTATACTTGATATATTCTGTATACATATAAATATTGATTACTTGTTTTGTTCGTTACTTGACATTTATAAAATTTTGGCTAACAATAAAATTGCATAGTTTATCAATATGTTTAGTATCATAGTTATACCATTGATTCCTCCGTAGTTCATGTTACTCGTACTTATTAAAAGGTTTTTATATTATTTATACTCGTAGTTTAAAGTTCTTTGGTGTTTGGTGTTTAACGAATTTGAGTTCGATTATTGTTTGCTTCTTGGTTTCTTTGTTAGTTTGTAGTGATACGTTTAGTGCGAAATCTTTGACTGCTTTGTGCTCCCTCTTCCCGGACCAGAAATCCGAAATCCGAAATCCGAAATCCACCGCCGAGCTCCCTCATTCCTAGATCTAATCTAGAGCTATCTCTAATCTACCCCGCCCCGTCTGTGCCCCAACTAACATCATCATCATCATCATCATAAACAGCATGGTCCAGTGCTATGTACTTTGTGCGTGTTCGATGTGTACACTATGTTGTACCACTGCCCAAAGATATTCTAAGCTAACGGCCTACTGCTTCCGTTGTACGAGTAGTGGTCGTGCCATTCGTCTCTTATCTTCTCTTCTGTTCGCTTCCTTCATCGTTTATCCTTCCGTTGTATTGCGTTTACTAACCATTTGCCACTGTGCCACCATTTCCTCCGCTGCTGCTGCTGCTGCGACTCGGTTTTTGGTTTGTGTAAAATTCTAATAAAATTGATTATTGTTGTTTGATAGATGCACCGTGTATGCATAGACATACCATACCCATGCATTGCATATTGCTTATTCCAAAATCAATATAAATATATATGTATAAATTGTAAGAATTTCCATACAAAAATTTAGTAGGTACGTTACTTTAGACCTCGGTGTTTTCTCTTTTTTTTTGTTTTGTTACTTCCTATCTTCCTCTTCGACTATGATACTGGACTTGCCCGTTTCACTCTCGCTTTCGTACAAAAAGTTATAGCAAAGCTATTTGAACCCCTCCCTTCCCCTGTTGTAGGTCGCTTCTCTTCCATTCCGTTCCTCGACTCTTCGATATAGCAAATGGCGAGTACAAACAATCTTAAAACTGCGTAACGGTACATATTTTGTAGATATTATATAGCCATAGCCAAGGAGTAGTTTATATCTTTGTGTGTAGTACCATTGAAACACGTATAAAACATCTATTTCCTATATGTGTGTGGGGTCTGTCGGTTCGGGAGTACGAGTATGTATTGTATTGTATAGTGTGGTGTGGTGTGGTGTGTTGTGGTTTGGTGTGGTGTTATCTTGTGTCTAACTAAGCGATCTTTGATTAGATTACTCTTCCCCTATCGATTTGGTCCATACCCATACCCATTCCCTATTCCTAGATCTGGCTACCCATAAACGACGGCGATGACAAAGACAAAGATGACATGACGGATAAGTCCGGCACTTTCCAGCCAAGTTCAGAGCCTCACCAGCACTGCCAACTTCTATCACAGTTCATAAAATCATTATACTCGTAATAATAGAAGATACCCACCGACCATCGAGCCGTGTCCGTCTGTCTGTCTGTCTGTCTGCCTGCCTGCCTGTTAGTCTCATTCTGTGCAAACTAGTCCCTCATTTGAAGCGACATCTGGCTGTAATTTAGCAAGGGACAGTAAATAAGTCAGAAATACCAGGATTCGATCGTCATAGCATATCATCTATATAGTATGTAGCTGCCATAGGAATGAGACAAGTATTTGTGGAATAATGTCTGTCTAGTTTCTATAAATATATATATGTATGTACGAGAATGTTCTGCAAGTGGTTGTAGCTAGTCCATATATAAGTATGTACGATGCGTAGGATGTTTTCGTGGAACGGATGGTAGAGTGGTAGAATGTTATCAATAATTTCCTACTCGTACAGATCCGCACTGCGGCGCGGAGAAGCGGCTGATGCTGATGAAGAAGACACGTAGCTTAGCTGCGAGTCCGTCTTTTTCAGTATGGATACATGATGAGTGGGCGCATCACTGGCTCGATTCAGGGAATCCTGCTTGTGCAGCAGACCACGACGCTGATCGGCGAACGAAATGACCGAGTCCTGCTTTACCAGCTGATGACGTCGCGGCTCTGGTCGCTGATCCACAAACGAGATGACCGAGTCCTGTTTCACAAACTTCTGTCGCTTGTCGAGCAGTGATCCCGGCGTGGCGTTCACCATTATTCCACCGGCGCGACGAGACTCCATCGAGACACTGTCTCTGTCCGCCAGCGAGTCGCTCAGGCCGAGACCGGGAGCGCGACGCGATTCCATGTAGGAGACAATCGAGTCCTGCTTGGAGAGCGAGATCTTGGAGCCATTGCTGTCCTGCTGGCACAACGGGCGCCGGATGCCGGAGGCGTCGCTGCAGGAGCTCTCCTGCTTGATCAGGAACTGTCGGGAGCCGTGCGAGTCCTGCTTCAGCAGCATCTGCTGCGACAGATTGCTGTCCTGCTTCAGCATCATGTTGTGGCGCCGCAAGGAGTTGTGCTCGTAGATATAGGAGACGGCGTTGCCCTTGCTGCTGGGACTCTTCCGCGAGCTGTTCTGGTGGTAGTGCGAGGACTTGCGTGTGCTAGTGGTGGAGGAGGCAATGGCCACGTTGTCGTAGTATCTGCAAATATACGGAGGAGCATTAGGAGGAAGACAACAGCAGGGGCCAAGAGGGGAGCCCACCTGAGACGGCCGCAACAGCTGCGAGACTTGATGATGGCCGCAAATCCCCGCCTGTACTTCTTGTTCACGGAGTAGAGGATGGGGTTGATGCAGCTGTTGGAGGAGCCCAGCCACTGGGCCAGTGGCATCACCTTCTTGAGCACCTCGAACTCCTCCTGCGATATGTCCGAACCGAACTTGATGCGCGCAAAGATCACGTAGAGTGGCAGCCAGGACAGGACAAACAGGATGACGACCGCCACCAGCATCTTGATGACCTTGACCTTGCTCTTCTGCTGCATGCGATCCATCTGGGCGTCCTTGGATTCGCCTGGTATCGAGCGCGTGGACACCTTGATCCAGATGAGCACATAGCAGAGCGTTATCAGCGACATGGGCAGCAGATAGCAGGCCACCAGGTTGGCCAGCAGGAAATACAGGTTGCCATCGGTGCCGGGCGGCCAGACCTCCTGGCACAGGTACTGGGGCTGCGTGTAGGCCGAGACGAGGGCATCGGAGAACACCTCCTCGGCCGGGACAAGATCGAAGAAGAGCAGCCAGGGTATGGTGGTCACCAGTGCGATTACCCATATGCCGATTATCATGATGCGGGCACGTCGCTTTGTCATCTGCTTCAGCGGCCACCAGATGGCAATGAACCTGCAAGGAGTGCACACACAAAGAATGTTTACCAGCTCCAGCTTCAGTTGCTGACGGAGGCGGAGGCGGAGGCGGAGACGTCAAGCCCGTCAAGGATAATGGCAATCATCAAGCTGGCGAGGCGACGATGACGACACCGTTTCAACAAGGCTTGGCATGCAAATATCTCCCACTGATTAATTTGCACACGCAGGATGCCGCCTGGTGCTGCCTGGTGTGCCGCGTCCCTAAGCCTTTTTCTGCTGAGTATTCGCTTTCCAATCTCGTCTATTGAACTCTCACTCTCAGTCGCCGCCACTCACTTTGAGAAATGCCAGGAGGGATGCGAGCGCCAGTCTATTCTGGTAGGGGTGTCATTTTTTATTTTGCTTGCCATAATGAATTGTAATTTGAATAAGAGCTGTGAGGCGGCTGACGCAGATAGCTGAGGTAGAGGACAAGGGACGCCGCTGACACGGGAACGAGAATGAGAACGAGTTCAGAGTTTTTCATTTAGCTTAGTGCAGTCCGCTCATTGTGATCATTGTGGCGCCCGTTCAATAGTCGCAGACAGGACTTGCTTTTAGTCTAGTCCGAGTCTGGGTCTGGGTCTGGGTCTGGGTGCCCGGGGAGTCCCTGGGCCTGACCAAAACCATGTAATTAAGGGGCATCCCGTCCCCCCACCTCGAGCCGTGCATTGTGCTTCTATTTTTGGGTCGTCGCCTGGGCCCCGTCTGCCCGCCAAAATATTTGCCAGATAACACAACGGTAATTCCATTCCAGCCACTACTACTCCGCCACCAACGGCATCTTGTTCTCTTCTCTCTCTGTGCACTAAAAATAGCCAACGAAACAAAGTACTGGACTGACTATCAGAAGTGGCTGGGGCAGGAGGGACAGAGCTGTCCGCAATAGCCAATATCAAATTGTCATAGCGTTTATTTATTGGAGCCAAGCAATTGCATTAGCATAATTTGTCCATGCCATTTGCCAGAGGCCATAAATCAGATGAGGGTCTAATTGAGATATTCGGGATAAGCCGTGCATTCGGAAAAAATTAACTAGGGATTTTGAAGTTCATACGAGTATATGCTTGCAATGAATCATATTAGATTGACTTTAAATAATTCATTGACTCAATTGAAATGATATATTTTATGTGGATTACAAGAGGGGATATTAAAAACATAAGCAGACGATGGCCCTCCTGATTTCAGAGGGAATGCACTTATCGGTTATAATAACAGAAGATCTTTCTGTGTAAGTCCTGAAATATTGTTCCATACCATTGACTGGGATTCTCCTCTAAATATTCCCCTTTCTTTCGGAATATTTTTCAATATACTAAAGCTTTCTCTTCATGGATTGGATAAAACCATTCATTACCTCTTCTGAAGATCTTCCGAATTATACATATTTCTATTGAGATTGATAAATACTATCCTAAGTATACAATACAAAATAATTTCCTTTTTAGATAATTCCTGAAATATTGTGTTCTGTTCTACTTTAAATATTTGCATTTATTTCTGCATGGATTTAATAATCCCCTTACGACAATCATGCTAATTTGTCCCCCGTTCATTTCGCTGAGTACAATATTTGCAAATCTCTGCGGGATTACCGACCAAGTGGTGATAGATGTGCTGAAAGATGCGGTGACGCTGGCAGAATTATGATACAAATTTCTTGGATATTAATACCCCGCAGGGCCGTGCGGTTCAAGGGACTGCGGGGTAATTTCCCTCAACTGGAAAGTACAAGTAATTTGCATATTCATATGCGGAGCTTACGAGCAGCTACAAATTTAATAATTGGCTACATGCTGCCACTTCTGCCCCATGCCCTGCGTGGTGTTATTACGGGTATCCTGGCTCTTCCGGCGATGGCTCCCACGCACTCCTGACATTTCCAAAGACCCACACACACAGACGGACAAAGACGGCGGACCCAAAAAGACCCGCACCGTCACTGTCATTGCCATAAAGCCACAGCTATGTTTATATACGAATGAATGACTATGATATATGGCTTTTATGAATAAATTCAAACATGCAGTGTGCGTGGATGATGGGGCAGATCCTTATACGCTCTCTCTTGAAACTAACGACCCTAATTTAATGGCATTCGCATAAGAAGAGGCGAGTGATAAGCCCAGTCGGGGCTGTCTTTTTGGGAACAAAAGTCCTATATGGTGGGTGCGTATCCGCTGCACTCCCCATCAATGGGAAACACTGAGCACTTAAGTCCGAGGCTAAGACAGCTGAGAAGAGATTTAAGTTTCTTGTTACAGATAATAAATCTTAAATTTCGATTCAGTTTACGAGTGCTCGTAAAAATACAAAGCAGCGGATGGACATACAGAAAGCAGCAGGATACGGATAGACAGCCACGGACAAGTCCAACCGGACTTCGCATGGCCTGTTCTGGGGGGCCTGACCAAATGATCGAATGATGTACTGTTGTGGTTGTCCGACCAAAACATAAGCAGAAGAAGAATAGAAAAAGAAGCTGTGGGTCTCGTCTCCCCCAGGGCTCCTGCTCTGGCTCTGGCTCTGATTCCGATTCTGGTTGATGCGGTCGTTGGAAATTGATATAAATGAAAGTGCACATAAAGCGACGGGCACTTGGCGTCTCTTATTGTCCTTGGGGTTATGACTGGCACACGTCAAAACGTTTTAGTATCATTTGATAAATCAGCTGGCCGCCACATCTCTGACTTTATGGGCATCAAGATATCTCCTCAGCATTTGTCACGGGACGTTTATGGAGGCAGGAAGCCCAGGGCTGACATTTCGATTCCTGGCGGCAGCTCATCAAAGAATCATTAGAATCAGTCCGACAAGGCGAACCGAAAACAACATTCTAAGGCGTTCTCGTAGCGAAAAAAAAAAACAAAAAACATGAATTTGAGTATCGCAGCACTGCCTAATACGGACAAGGCAAACTATGATGAACTTGATCTTGAGACGAGCGAGCGACCCACAGACTGCCGACTGTCCAACTGTCTGACTGTCTGGCTGCCTGACCAGTTTTCCCGAGGTGCAACAGCAACAGCAACCAGCAGCTGCTTGCATTGAGCGTCGAGCCGGCACTCACTTTCGGATCGGCCGGGTGTTCCTATAAAAGCCACGCTCGGTGTTGCATTTGTCACCAGTTGCAAGCTGCCAATCTTTAATCCAACTCCTATCTAACTACCGTGCAAAACAGCCAACAAAATGTTCAAAGTTGTGAGTATCTGTCGGATCTCGTGCTACTGCAACAGCTAATCTGTGACCTTTGAACCCGCTTCGAATCCGAACAGCTGTTTGTCCTCACCGCCCTCGCCGCCGCCCAGGTCTACGCCCATCCCGGAGTGGTAGCCGTGCATCCCGTTGTGGCGCACCCCGTTGTGGCGCATCCCGCTGTGGTGCATCACAGTCCCATCATCCATCATGGCGCCCACTCGGTGCACTCGTAAGTTTGAGCAGGACGCAATTAATTTTCAATCTGCTTATCGCCCTAACTGCCTCCACGCTCTTCGAACAGACACGTCGTGCACCATCCGGCACCCGTCAAGGTCGTCACCCCGATTGTTGCCAGGCCTGTGGTGGCTGTTCATGCCGTTAAGCCGGTGGTGCCCCTAGTGCCCGTGCACCACGCCGCCCCCGCCCTGGTCGTGCATCACTAAGTGCACAAACTGCACCCTGACCCCTGACCGTCCCCTCCCCTCCGCCCATCCAATCGAAGCCCCAACCAACATCCAAGATTATCCCCCAATAAAAGTTCATAGCCACGTAATTGAAGAGAGTGTTTTCAACGTTATCAACGTTTCACGTTGCACTTACCTGTCGAGGGACACGGCAATTAAACTGTAAACCGATGCCGCCACCGAGACACCCTGTATGTAGGGCACAAACTTGCACATCAGCCATCCGAGCATCCAGGCTGAAAAATACAAATAATGGTTAGAACAGAGCAGAACAGAACAGAAGAGTAGAGAAGGTAGAGAGCGGGTAAATATTGGCCATAAACAGTGTACAAATTATGCTGAGTAACTTTCGGTCACATCGCCCTGTGCTGTCCTCTTCTGTCCTGTACTCTACTGTGCATTGTTGTCGTAGTCGTTGTCCTGGTTGTCCTATCTCTGGTCCTATGGTTAACGTTCAATGCTTCTTTGGCATCGCAGGCCGCCCACGTCGCCGCCGTTGTTTGCTGACTGAGATTTATGTGCTGCATATCATTCATAATTTGGTGACAAGTCTCAGATTGCGACCAGGCAGCGGCAGCGGCAGAGGCGGAGGCAGGCGGCCAGGCCACTGAGTGATGACGGGGAACGGGACTATTGTTTGCCCAGCCACAACCAGGACCACAATCAGGACAAGAGCCACGACTACGACCAGGACTAGGACCACGACCAGACCAGACCAGACCGCACTTGCCTAAGTTAATTTGTATTCCTTTTATTCTATTTGATGGAAGACACGAGACTGGTACGCGACGCGTCCTCGTGACATGGCGGTCTCCCACATAGCAATCGCATAGTTGTGCGTTATGAATTTTATGCTAAAAGGAATAACTCACTCAGACACAAAAGGTTATAAAACACACACATGGCCGGGGGCATGGTAGGGCACCAGCACCAGCACCAGGACCAGTACTAGTACCAGCGATGGCAGGACCTGCGGCAAACTTTGTCAAGGTTGATGACAGTCGAACAGCGCCCCGAGCATGACAGATCGAATGGCAATTAACCAACAAGAGCCCCACACATCATTAGCACGAGGCGAAGTGTCAGGACGTCCCCCTGCCCCTATGATCCGCACCGTGGGGTTCAATGCTCGGCGCAGGAGACGCCTTCTCAACCTTAACGCCGTCAGGGGCTGTGCTTTTGCGGGCTTCTAATTTCCTGTCTCGCTCGCCTGTCTTATCTCGATTTCTTGTCGCTTTTTATTATGCATACGTATACGCACCGTACGCCCGTACGCCCGCGCTCACAGCAGCCCAATAAAAGCCGAATTTAATATGATTTGGCACATAAAAATATAAATATTATTTGGCTTTGTGGCTATGAACTTCTGTTCATTGGCTTGAGAGTCGAATGGACAGGTTCTGGGCAGGATCATGTGTGCGTGTGCAGGACATGAAAATCGGACACAGATGGACGGGCGGACTGACAAACAATCAACCGAATGTACACGAGGAGACAGCAGCTCAAATGGGTTTTCTTTTCGGGTTTATTCTTTCGAATCTTTCGATTTGAAATTGCTTGCGTTGAACAAGAGGCAAACCTCTCCTGTTGCAAGTGCAACAGACTGAAACCGAAGCTATTAATGCGAGTGTATTCGGCTACTTATTTGATATTATATGCTGATAAGGGTAAACTTTGATATATGGCTGTCTGCCTGGCCAAACTTGTTTGCCAGAAAGTTGTTTAAGCAAGAATTTAAATTCAAATTCAAATTCAGATTCAGTTCGGAAGTGCTCCAACAAATTCAATCATGTGAATGGTTAAACAGATTACTTTCTTTCTCTAAATTTAAATTCTCTTAAAGCGTTTAGTTTGCCATTTAATTAAGGAATGCAAACGTGACTTGTTTGATTTTTTTTGGATTAAAGTTTTCAACAGTCCTCACAACTACTAAGTATACAAACAAAGTAAAGCCATATTCAAATTATTCAAAGCTGTCTTTTATAATCCCAAAGAAACACAGGGGTGCCCAAAGTCAACAATTGTACGATATACGTATGGCTCCAAACTTCATGGGAGTTGTGCTGAATGTATATACAAAAATATTCAGCAAATTATTTAAATCTTTCCATACAAAAAAACTAAAAACTGTCTATAAATAAATTTACGAAATTATATTTTCTGCATGTGTATTTATAGATATGGATTTTGTGTATCTGTAGGCAAACAAGCAACAATGGAAGCTAGTGAAAGGTGTAACAGTACAAAAGGTACATGAAAACAATATAGAATTAAAGGACCTTTTGCCTTGTCCCTCCCTCTCCTCCATTAATTTGTTGTGTAAACGTCAGAAATAACACGAATCGACTCGCGTGAGGGTCGGACCTTGAAGCTCAATGTTCCCTAAACAATCATTTTTGGCCTGAAGTGAAGCCAAATAATTGGGCTCTGAAGGGTAAACAAGCAGCTTCTTAAGTCGAAAGCCGCGGTGCGTACTGTCAAGGTAAGAGGAATGAGTGTCTGCGCCGAGTGTGCCTTGACAGGGCAACATATGGCCTGCAGACGCCGCAGCAGCAGCGTCTCCATTTGTTAAGCATAAGCTGGTGCTCAATATTGATCAACTACAGGAGAGGAGATAATACCAATCGATACTTGAGCTTATCAGCAGCCTTCAATTGTGCTGCGGTGGCGGTGAGGTCGTGCTCGGGGCCCTGGAAAATGTCAAGCGCGCCCTGCCTAAGCCTTTTAGTTTTTGGTCCCTTTGCTGGAAAACTTTTCTTTTGTCGTTACGCATAGGCAAAGTGGATTGGATTTTTCTTTGCATTGTCTCCGGGGGCTTGGATTTTGTTTCCAGGGTAAGGTCATAAAGTTAATGAAATAATCAGGCGTAACAAATCCGCCAACGGGTCAGGGGATTGAGACTCGGGCCGTGGGTTCGATTGGTATGGGCGTGGAATGGCCATGGAAAAGGCATAACACTTCAGACAAATGCGTTATTGTTATGATTATCACTTGAGCGTCACGTCCTGCGGCGACTGCTGTAACAACACGATGGCAAATTGAATACCGCAGGAAGGGCGCCAGGCTGCACAGCGAAGAGTGGTATATGGAGGTGAGATCTGGGTATGCGAAGCCGGCGTGTGGCTGTGGCTGCCGTTTGTTGCCATCCAGCACGTAGCGACTAAATTAAAATACAATCATGCGGCGCAAAGTGCTGAAAAATGACTTCATCAGCAGCGTCTTTCGTTATGCATACGCCGCCGCAGCGTCTGGCACAAATCACGCTGCCAATTTAATGAACAAACGGGCAGGGCAACGTGACTTAAAATAGGGAACGTGATGCGGATCCACAAAGGACTTAATGACAACGATTTCGCATTGATAAGATGGCACAACAATGGCCATAAAGCCCCATTTAGGACAACAGTCGCTGCTGAGCAATGCAAGGATATCCTTCGTCTCAAGGCGGATGGCTCCTTTGGGGGGGCACTGCGCGCGGCTAGGAAATCAATTCATTTCGCATTTTATTGGATTTCGAAGCACACATAAATAAGGGCCCCAACCGCCACACATTCCGAACCCCCAACTCAAACGAACCAACCCTCAACCCTCAAGCCTCCAACCAGTACAGGCCCAACCCCGTGCAGGTACCAACAAGCACACACACACACTCACACACAGATACGCTTGGGGTGTATGTGTGTGTGTGTGTGTGTGTGTGGATAACCCTGACTATCAGGTTTGCCAAGCGAAATATTTAGGTCAATTCATCCAGCCGCAAAGAGCCTTGAATGCAAACAACCTTCCACTGCAGTTCTGAGGCTTGAAGGTGTGCTTAGATAATGGCGCTGCCTGCGGCGATGGCCATCGCTCGCGTCGCCGTCGCCGTCGCCGTCCGCGTCGTACTCGGCATCGGCTTTGACGGTTGCATTTTGATTTCATATAATTCACTTTGATGGCGGGGTGGTGGAGCCCATCCTTGCCACGAGTCGGGGTGTGTGTGTGTGTGTGTGTAAGAACATCAATCAGCAACGTGCAATGTTCGATGTGCAAATATGCCAAACATCCGAGACTCCAGCACCTACAGTACAGAAAAGTACAGTACAGAGCTTCCAGCTCCAACTCCCACACCAACCCATCCTTTGTTGGCGCAGCTTTGAACTCGCCTTCGATGTAAACGTCTTTCATCGGCTTGTCGAAAGCGAATTGGAATGTTTGGGGACCACCCCCAGCCGGAGCACGGAGAGCACCCAAAAAATATCCTCCCCACAGACCCATCATCAGCCCCACACAAGTCGAAATGCCAGCGCAAGGGCTGCAATTTGTGTTTGCTGTTGTGACTGCTGCTTTTGCTTAGGCCTCACCAGCTGAGCCGCCCAAGTCAGGCCATAACGGAGAGGCAAGGCAAGGCGGGGGGAGGGGAGCGGAGGGGAGGCGAGGGCCACCCACAGTGACCCACTAAGAGCGGTCGGCCCGTGGCAGCGCCAGCCCTGCGCCTAGCTTGAATTTGTGAAATTAGGTCAGTTTTGTGTCGATGATCCTTTGGGCCACCCCGCAAAACAGCAACAACCAGCCATGCACACACCCATACACACACAGAGCCGAGTGCGAGTACATAGAGAGTGAGAGCGCCCGAGAGACAGCGGAGAGAGTGCGCAGAGGCACACAAACACAGAGACAAACGCACACAGACACGCAGCCCACAATGCAGGCTGAGGAAAACTCATTCACTTTTTCCTGCCCAGCCACTCGCTCTTCATTCGTTTTTCCTGGTGTTCGCATTCGGCCGACTTCGTTTACTACGCCCCCACTCTGGCCGACCCACTTGTTGGGCGGGGGAGAACGTTGGCCGAGTGCAATGCCGTTTCTTGGAGTTTAGGTATAGCAACAAGAGAGCCTCCACACACAGCCCCGTCTTGGTGGGCCAAGAGCCCACTACTTAATTGGCAACACTTGGGGCAATCCGTGAGCCTAGCTGGCCGTGGGCAGGCGGACTACTGCTGTTGGGGCAGCCATCGGCTCCAATAGAAGATGGAACTGCGGCCCTTGGTCTGGTTTTGGTTCCCTGGCTGCCCCGGCTGCCCTGACATGGCGTGCATTACAATCGGAATTTGATTTCTCAAGGATTTCGATCATTTTTCCATGTCGACGGCGATTTGCATAGACATAGACCCATACGCTGTACGCTGTACTCTGTACTCTGGGCACCTGCTCGAACAGCTCTACGACAATCAATTTAGAAGACAGCTTACCGCCCGAGTCTAAGGCGCAAGGGGGAGAAGAGCACGGTGTACATGGAGGAAGGAAAGACAGTTACGGAGAGGGTGTAGGATACGACACAGATAGATAGATAGGCATGTCAGGCAAAATTTATTTAAATTAAAGCATACAATTATGCGCAACCTCGTTTATTGGGTCGTTTGTGGGCCGTCGTGCCTTCGCTGGGATTTCGAATTGGATTGGCCTTTAATTAAATATACACTTGTACCTTGGACATTGGACATTGGCGAATTGTCAGTTCCACGAAGGACTCCGGGCTGGGACAGGGAGTGGTGTGTGGTGCGGTGTTCTAGCACCCGGAAAATTAATTTAATTGAGTGGCACCATCCCGGGCAGGGATTTCTCTGATGTCACAGACTCATTTACATTGCTTAAAAGATTTGAAACATTTCGGACAGACTAAATACGGAATGAATTATCCGGGGCGACATTCGATGAAATGTACATGTTTTCATTTTGTTTTCTTTCCCTAGAAGTTTCAGGAATGGAATGCAATTTACTAAATGCATTCTTTTATAATTGAATTTTAACTTTACTCAATTTTCGATGCTAAAATTTAATGGATTTCAAGGCCACACTCCATTCCACCCAATTATCTTTCTTTAATGGTGTTTTGAAATTGGAAACTGCAAGAGTTTCCTACATAAATCCTCGCAAACTGTTCGATTCCCAATTAAAAGGGGAAACGAAAACCAAATGTGTCTACGCAGAGTAAATAAATTCCAATATAAAAAGGAATGGTAATGACGCAGAGTAAATAAATTCCAATATAAAAAGGAATGGTAATGACTGCAACGCAAAACTGCTTGCACCACTGCTGCAGGAAAACGAGCTTAATTTCCTGAGGCATTTATGCCAACATTAGCTCTAATGACCAGGACCATTACATTTGTTTTTGTGCCCGTATCTGTAGCTGGCACATTACGCATACGCCACGTGAACACGCAGCCAGGGTGGTGCCAACAAATTTCGGCCGTGTCGTTTGGCGAAGCTTTTTCTAAGCGGCGATTAATTGCAGCCCATAAATCCAGCTAATATGCAGAACCAAAGGAAAAAACAGTCGGAAAGAAGCCCCACGCATCATCCCGCACGGCGTTAATGTGGCCCCCAGCGGCAAATAAATCCCAGAGCCTTACGGAATTAAGCAGATACTTACGCACAAAGATGTTGCCAATAAGAGTGGCTGGCAGGCAGAAGACAATAACAAGGATGTCCGCAATGGCCTGGAATCGGGAAGCGGAATGGAATGGAAATTTAAGTTCAAAATTAATGGGGTTCATCCGTAAGATTTAGGAGCGCACATACCAGATTCACAATGAAGTAGTTTGTCACCGTCCGCATACGAGGCGCCCGCAGGACGACGGCAATCACGAAGCTGTTGCCAATGAGCCCCACCAGGAACACCACGATATACGCCACGCAGTAGACAATGGACATGGCCAGCGAATGGCGGTAGAGCGGATCGAAGCCGAAGTCCACGTTTCCGTCGAACTGCTCCCAGCGCATGGAACTGTCGTTGTAGGACTTGGTGGCCGCCACTGCCGCGATCAGGCTGGTGGTGGCCGGCGACATGTTCAGCAAGTTGGCATAATAGGTGGATGAGGTGGCCTCGGCAATGGCCAGGCCCGACAAGGACACCACCTGCTGACTGCCCGCGATGGCCAGGGCCGACGAGGATGCCGCCACCGATGCTGTTGTCGTGGTAGTGGCTGCAATCGTGGCTAACAAAGAGCTGGCGGCAGGCGCCACCGTAGCCGTGGCCGTGGTCAAAACGGTCCCCAAAAGAGTGTCCATAATGGCGCCGTTACTCAATTTAATGGTACTCGATCCGCTCGAGGAGCTGCTGATGCTGGCCACAGAGTTTCTATTTCCATTGTCACTGGCATTCCCGATCCCATTGCTTGGGCCGCTGCTGCTGCTGCTGCTGCTGCTATTGCTGGTGCTCAGCAAATCATTGAAATTCAAGAGGTTCTGCAAATCGACGAAATTATGCGTGAAATTATTATAGTCCCCAGCGAAGGCGGCGGCTTCCTCGACTGTTTCGCTGTGCTCCACCATGGGCCAGGGCCTGCCTGGCGCTGAAGGGGCTATGGCTGCTGTGGTGGCTCTGGGGGCTCTGGTGGCTGCCGCCGCGGTTATGCTAGTGGCTGTCGTCGGAGTCGGAGTGTCGCCACTTGGATGGCTTTTATGCTTGCGCTTGCGAATCCTCCCGTTCACTGCCATCGCCAGGCCGTCTTGGATAAGCTAGCAGGCACTTTAAGTGGCGCCTCGACCGTCGCTGGTAATCTCTCTATTTTATTGGTATCTGTACTCGCAGTAGTTTCTTTTGATTTAGAAAAAGTCTATAAAAATGGCATCGTCACTTGGCATTTCGTTGGCTTTGAAAAACATTCAGTTGTAGGATATGCAGGATATTTCGTGGCTTTACAGATTAAAAAAACAAAAATATATAATTAACATGCGACTCCTACATACATACATATGTGCCACAGTGTTTGTGTGTGTGTGTGTGTGTGTGTGTGAGTTGCCTTTTGTAGTTGTCGCTGTCGTTGCACAACAAATGCAATTTTCGCCACTCGCGCCCCCCAAGGTTGGATGTGCTTTGGAGAAGCCATTGGCTGGCAGCACCTACATACAACCTACAACAGTTTGTTGCCGTTTGGGATGCGGAGCGAATCGGTCGGGTCGGGCAGTCGGTCGGTCTGGTCTGGTCTGGTCTGGTCTCTGGGTCGTTCGTCAGCTGGTTGACGTTGCCTTGGATGGCATTACGAAAAAGTCGGCGGCTCAAGGCCTCGTGTGCATATTTCAGATAAGGCCAAATGTTGGAGGCTTGGATAAATGGTTGGATTGGTAGCATTGAACGCGGGGCGGTGCAGCCAAACCGTGAGGCTGGGCTCAGGGACATGGCCATATACCATCTCCAACACATGCGCGTGGTTAATTAATTTTAGTGCCATTTCTCTTATTGTTCGCTGCTCTTGTCGCTCCGCTCTGCTCCGCTCCGCTCTGTTTTTGGGCACAATTGAAAAAGGCAAGGCGAGCTTGCACTTTGACCTCAAAAAAGCCGAACAAACATCGACAAAACGAACCATCGAGTAACTCAATGGCACCATATAAAAATTCCATTAAGCACAACTGCCAAGCGCAGGAGGCACTTCGATTGAGTGCCAAAAAATTGCCAGTAAGCATTGAAACAATCGCCACAAGCCAAGGAATTCTTTTGTTGCCTCTTCGCCCATGGGGGGAGTGGCGTTATCCACGGGAGCCGATGGCAGACAAACTGGCGACTAAAGACCCCTTAGCACACAATTCAAACTGTCCCCAGCCGCTCTCAGCTGGAGCTGGTGTCGTATTCCGCTGCCGATCCAATCCATTTTGGATTCGGCCGTTTATTCTGGCTGCGACAGAGTGAGCGTGAAAGCGCTTCAAACCTAATTGTGCTTACATGCCGTGCCCCGTGGTCTAGTCAATTTCAGCGCTATTCAGTGGAGAAAGCAGAAAGCTGATGGTCCATGCCCAAGGGCCCAATGGGGCGTTTGACCAAGCGTCAACAGCACGACTAATTAAAATGTCAGTGCTAAAAACTGCACACAGAGCAGAAAAGGCAGAGCGAGTGCAGCATAATGATGCTAAAAGTTTACAACTCCCACACTGAAGGGATGGCGATGACACCTCCGCACAGCGCCCACACAAAAGCAAACAGAAACAGAAACAGAAACAAAAAACGATTCAACGGAAAAAATATTGAAAGGTTAACACTACGCGTGGTCGGTTCGGTTGGTTCCGTGTTGCGTTCCATGGACGGCCATGTGCTGGTCGCCGTGCCGATAGATGATGTTGTGTGCCCTTCGGCGACCGCGATGTTAACGGATTCGCGTCTGAATGAGGACTGCGGCCAACGCAGCACGGGCAGCTCGTTTTTCAGGCTATCTGGCCTCACGACAGACATGGACACAGACACGCTCGGAGCACGATAGTGGGAGCCGACGACGACGATGGCCCGACGACGACTGAATGTAGGTCCCTGTTGCCAAACCGCACCCGCCGCCAGTTACCGTTACCCTCCACAGCAGTGTCGAGCTCGATTCGGGAGAGTGGGTCTCCTTCCTCGGCCCCATCCCCCCCACATCGCATCGCATCGCATCGCATCGCTCATTCGCTCAATCGTCCTTGTCGCCTATGTACTCGGGCACATACACCCGAACACTCCGTGAGCGGCGCACCAACGTCCCTCAAATGCAATGACAGAGCCTCGCCTCTCCTATATGTTTATGCTTTTTCCTGTCCTTTTCGGAGCTTCGCACAGGCTTAGCATACAACTTTGTAGGCTTAAAACTGAAGGACCACATTTGGCAACATGCAAGGTTAAATGGCGAAATGTCAGGGAGACCGAGTCTCAGGGAAGCTGCGGTGGGCGTAAGGCGGATTCCCGTCTAAAACACTTTCACACACAAAATCAGCCCAGACCCGAGCCTCGTACCCGTACCCGGACCCGGACCCTTGTTCATTTCGGGCCGAGATGAAAGGAAAACATGTTGATGCTGCCTTTTCATAAATACGTTTATTATGCCATTTGACTTTTCCTCCCCGCTGTTGGCTATTGTATTGCGTGTCGCTGTGCTCAGGCACAGGAAACAAAACAGAGAGCAACAAGAGGTCTCCCCCAATTGCTCTGTTCATGTCTCTCAGCGCAGACACACACGCGCGGGCACACGGCGTATACGCAATTTCCGTGTAGCCTCCATTATGCTGCTGTTCCTTTTGTTACGGTGGCTGTTGTTACTGCCAATTGCTGCCATCAGGCTTTCGCCTTTTCGTTACACTTTGCCGTTTGTGCTTCTGCCAAGCCTTCCTGCCAATGCAACAAACTTTTATTGCTGCGCTTCCTTCAGAGCAGAATAGAGCACTTTCCGCTCTGCGGAAATTCAGGTTCTGCTCGCCAACTGAGGGTGTTTGGGGAGGGCCTAAGCGGGGATGGCAATTAAATCTGTGTCCAGCCAAACAATAATCAAAACTTTTGTCGTTTTCCATCGCTTTGCATACTCTTTGTTTTCAAGTTTAATGACAGTTTTCAAGTTTTTCAGTTCAACTCGTTAGCATAGCATTTATTTGGAGCTCGCTCGCAGCTGAGCGCTCTTCACTATTTACATTTACCCAATGCTGTTGCTCAAGGATATGCGCCAACTCAAACCCGAATCCGAGCCCGTACTCGATCCCGTGCCCAGCCCACCCCGATTCAGTCGGTTCAGCACAGGATGCGCGTGCGTTTTGCAACAGCTGGCTTTCCTGCTCCGCGAACAGCCAAAGGTTCAAAAACCTTGTGTTTGGTTCAACTCTCACAAACATTTGGACGGTTGCCACCATACACTGAGCCGATTCGGTGGTGGGTTTTTGGGACTAGGAAACTATACAATGAACAATTTCGCAAGGGATGTATGTAATCCTCCTAACGAACTACCTGCGAATGTAGGTAAGCGGTTTCCAAACTGCACCTGGCCTTTTTGTAGTGCCATAAGGAAATACAATTTAATGTGTACCTCGAACGAGGGTTGCTATTTATATTTCGGGAATAGGAAATAAGAACAACAATTTTTAAATGTAAATGGTTTTATCGTTCTTCAAAATATTCCCCTTGATGATCAATACACTTTTGCATTCGCTGGAACCATTGGTCATAGCAGTTTTTCCACTCCTCTTGAGACACCTCCAAAACATGGTTTTTAAACTCTTCAACTGCTTCTTCGGCGCTCGTAAAACGTTGATCACGCAGTTTTTTTTTTATGTTAGGGAATAAAAAGAAGTCATTGGGTGCCAAGTCAGTCAAGTCCAATCGACGCGAGCCTTTTTTTGAGCGATTGATAAGTTATGGGGTATCCAACGAGAGCAAACCTTTTTTACAACTAAGTGTTCATGTAAAATGGAATGTATTGAAGTGGAACTAATGTGCAAGGATGCCTCTATCTCACGATATGTCACATGTCGATCTTGCACTATCAGTTCACGCACACCATCGATGTTTTGTGGCACAACTACCGATTTTGGGCGACCCTCACGGAATTCGTCAGCGACTGAACTGCGACCACGACTAAATTCTGCAAACCAGCGATAAACTGTCGTTTTTGATGGTGTTTTCTCGCCATATAAAGAACATCAACACATTCTTGTTGGGATAATCCACGTCGAAAGTTGTGAAAAATAATCCAACGAAAACCATCTCGAGAAATTTCCATTTTTTTGCCCAATTGATTTTTTTAACTGATCGTGAACAAAACAAAAACCAATTCTACATATGTGCTAAAAACTGACGTTTATTATGGCGTTGCCAGGTTTTACGTATTGGCTTTAGTATTGCCAATTCCCGAAATATACATAGAAGCCCTCGTATAGGTAGACATAAAATATAATTAGATTAGTTTCTTGCAAAGTATTTGATGCACAAAAATTTCACCTATATTTTAGGAAATATAGAATATTTTAGAGCTATCGGCATTGGGACATGCGATTTATTAATTAATTATTTATAATTTTATTAAAAGACAATGGTTTTACATATACAGTCAAATGTAATAGATGCACGCGTAATCGACATCTACATCAATTTTACACTACGCACTATAAGGGAGGAAATAAAATAGGAGAAATTAGTGAAATTAATTAAGGCTGTCGGGCAGACCGAATTTGTATATAAATAATACATAAATAATACATTCGTGCTTGCTTTTATGCAAAATTTGAATTTTTAGCTGATTTTATTTGTAAACAAGTACACGAAACTGTGCATGAACGTAAGTCGTCTTTCGACTGTAAATGTAGGTATTCAGCGTGTTAAAAGAGGGAAAAGAGAAATTGTATAATCGTGTAAGACCGAGTTCGTGTTAAGCGAGGGCTGGCTGCATTCGATACTGCAGAAAAGCAACTCTGACAGATGTCACTGTTAAAAATACAACTCTGACTGCAGCCAGAGGAATCTTGTTGTCCCGCTCTAGATGTACGCACACAAGCAAATGTAGGCAGCCAGTCACGTAGACCGAGAAACATCAGCGTGCTCGCTCGCACTCATTTGGAATGGCTACAAAGAGATTAACCCTGCACAACGCAGAGCAGGCAGGCAGCTGCTTCACGAATTTTCCATGAGACAGCGCTGGTATAAATAGAACTGGTCGAACCAGATACTGCCATTCGCAAAAAAAAAGTGTTCAAGTTTAGTCGCAGTGCCTCTGAAAAAAAAGTTATAAAATTGTAAAAAAAAGTATTCACTATTGCTGGCTAGCATATATAATCATCAACGAAAAAAATGGAAAAGTGTGGAAAACGTGTCGTAGAAGCGAAACAAAGGCCATATTCCAGCATGGCAACAACGCCAACGTAGTCTTTCTCAATGTCGGGCAATATTTGCTCATAAGTTGAAACAAAGAAATACGCTGGAAAAGTGTATGAGTCATCGATTTCACCGTCAGCTTCGGGGCATTTCACAATGCGGAAGCAACTGGAAAGGCGCAGTTTCTCGTTTTTGGCTAGAAAGTAACTCCCTAGGCAGGATGAGGCTATCCAGGAGGTTCAGGAAACTCTCGAAACAGACTCAGTCGGGTGCAATGGCGGCAGCCCAGACCTGCAGTGTACGTGGAATTGATAATTTGGGATAGGAAGCCAGGTATTAACAGCAGCAAATCAAGAGTGTCATCTTTCAATGCACCTTGTAATTCGTAAGAAAAAATGTAGTCCTAAGAACTAGATAATTGTCGACAGACGATATGCAGAAAAAACCTTTTCTAACGTTGGCTGATGCTCCATTTCGTCAGCACTCGTTTTTTGTATCCTTTTCCAATGCCAAATCTATAAGTCGGACTCTTGCAGCCCATTGCGTAATATGGAATTGTTCCAGAACAACGCGTCTCAAATCATATCGAAAATTCTCGATGTTCCCTTTCAGCCCCCCAAACCGTGGCCACCACCAGGCCTGCTCTAAAAATACCCCTCTTTTCACTTACATTTTACATGTATGTATATTCATCTCGCTCCCACTTTTGGGATACGCCTATCTATACTGCATTCGGTTGTACTCACACTGACGTCAACAGCAGAGCAGCTGCAAAAAGTACTTGGGTGTGAAATAACACAACCTACCCATGTGTTTACTCTCTCTTTATATGTATATATAGTATGTACGAGTACATTGTATGTATGTATGTATTTTCCCACATGCTGGGTCTAGGGAAAATTTCACTGCTTTACGTTTCTTCATCCCTGTTTCTGTCGCTTCTATTGGCATCTTACCTACGTATAAGTTTCGTAGTCATTTTAACATTTACATAGCTGATAATCTTATTTGTAATAATGCTTTATGCAACTCTGACACACAACTTAACCAAGCAATATGTATTTCTTTCTCTAAACTTTATAGTTGGGCGTTGAAAGTTGATACGCAAACGCGTAGGCGATCGATCCAAGTAAAACTCTGAACTCTGTACCCTTCGCGAGCAATAGGCAGAAGAAGTGCTGAAAATGCACTTCGGCCCATGTACGCGTTTGGCGTACGCGAAAGTTGTGGCTGCGACCCTGACTCAGCCTTAGTGTTGATTGTCGGGGTCGCGGACTGACCAGGGTGCGTCGTTTCTATCAGATTGATTGTGCGGATTGTGTTATAGGAACTCCGGTGTATCGACTTCTCTGCTCTACTAAGGGTGAACCCTACAATGGGCCTTCTGTTGCTTACCTACCATCGAACGAATACCAATACATACCGGGCAGATATACGTATAACTCTGTTCTGACATCGATCGATTGAAACTGTTCACACGTCGTCTTTGGAGTAGCAATTTAACCAACAAGTCCAAAACAATGGCTGTTGCTTGCAAACAATCTTTTCTGTGGCTATACATTTTGTGGTGAACTCTAAGCGGAAACAGTTCCACACCAACAATGTGTTAAGTTCTTAAATATTTGAAATTGTTTAAACTGTTTTTGTTTTTGTACACTCTACGACTTTATAATTACTTGTACCGATGTAAAATTACTTGTCGAAACAAAACAAAAAATAAGAAAATGGAAAAAATGCTTAACAAAAGAGCTCATCTATCGAAAAGAAGCAACAAAAAAGTGAATAAAATTCAATAATTCCAAAAATAAATCTCGAAACATTGCTCGTCATATTTTTTTTATTTCAAGCTTAAATTCAATTTCAGTTAGATCATCCAACCGTTTTACAAAGCGTTGCAGCAGTTAGCTCATCGAGGAAGGGTTGATCTCAGTATCTCAGTACACACCCGACTAAAACCGAATACATAATTCTCTGTCCATGACGCTCAACATGAAGAAGGGGACAGTGATCACCCTCAAAGCGAAATATTTTAATTAAATTCGTTAGTTCCTGATATCCCTTTTAGGTAATGTTCAAACTTCAAAAGGCAGCCAAAGCATAAAAGTACGTAAATATTTTACCTTCTTACCATCTAAACAATGTTTTAGTAAAACACTATAGCGGAGTATTTCGGAGTAAAAATTTGAGGATTGTCACCAATTGTTCTTTCAACAATCTTAGGAAAGAATTATTAATTTCTCTACAACAAGACAAAATTGGGATGATTATGGCTCCACATTGTAAGCCGAATATGGAAGTTTCCGGAATATAATTTATAATGAAAGCATACACACATATAATTCTCATATGTTTACAAAAATGTCCTGTCCAAATATAATGTAAAATTTAAAAAAACTGCGAAATTATTGTCAAACACTTAAGCTTAAGCATTAAACTGTTCCCTCCACCTGACACTCTTAAACTTCCCACGTACCCAAAACAATTTCATATTAAAACCTGCATAGAACCAGGTTTAAACAGCACTGCGATTATACAAAAAATAGCTTACTCGATCTCTTGAAACGATCGGACCGCTTTCTCCAGCACTCTTAAACATGGTAGGTAGGTTTTACATATATTGACATGCATAACTCTGTTATTCATCGAAATGATCTGATTTATTATTTACATCAAAATCATATAGCAATGTTTTATAACTACACAAAAACGGTAGGGAAAAATAATATATTTTTCAACATAATAGGTAGGTTTCATTCCGTTAATTTCAACAAGGTTTTTTTTTATATTACAAATAGTAGCAATATCGACACCGGCGTATAATTCGAGGTGTCCCAAATGTCCATCGACTCGAGTTTCGCGGGGGGGTGCATTTGCTCAAATATCCCGTAGAGGCGCTTCTGATTGAAGCACACACTCAATCTACTCATGTAGGCGTTCTAGTTGAGCCCGTCCAGCACATTTTTCCACGTCATGGTCGTCAGTTTGTGGATCCACTGTCGGGCGTATCTCTACTCCCGCGAGTCGGTATGGAACGCCTCCTCCGGCTGAGGGCTACATCCGAGAAACGCAGTAAAATCAGTGAACAGGAGATTCATCTTGGCTTCGTGGACGACCGATGTCGCCAACCACTTCATCTTCAAATATAAATTCTCAGAAAATGTAAACAAGTGATGGATTCAGAAAATTTGGCAGAGAATACTATAAGTATGGATGATCCGAACATGGACTAAATTAATATCTTTGACAATATAAATATGAAAATCATCTACATATATGGTATCTTATAACTATTATATACTAACTATATAACCTTACAGATCAAGAGTTTTCTACTTCCTAACGCTTGTACTGTACTACATAATATTTCCCAGCCCGACTTCTGGTTTCAACCAAATAGGTAGGGTGAATAAAAATGTTTTTAAGATGGTTTGTGATTTCTCAATGATATCGGTAGGAATTCTTCTCATATTAATATGTTATAATAATACCCACTGCCCCCTTGCCTTACCCTTCTATTTACCAACCATCTCACCATCTCTTCTTGATTGCAATGAAAATCGAAAATTAATTTACATATTGGAGGATAGGAACTTTTATGTTATCTTTAGAATCTTAAGGTTAAGAACCACTTTCCCTCGTAATATAAGACAAGGATTTTCCACTATAATAGGTAGGGATTGTAGCGCACTAAAATTGCGTACAGATGTAATAAAGATGGTTCTGATCTCTTGATCAGAAACTGAAATTAATTTACGGCTCGTGATTTCTCAACCTCGTCAATCACTCTAATATACCTCTTATGATAATTAAATGCTTTTATATTAATACCCACGTTCCCTCGTGACTTACCTTTCTATATATCGACCGTATCTCCATTTCTTCTTGATATTTAAGGATAGGGACTTTAATGTTACCTATAAAATCTTAAAATCTTTTCACTATAATAGGTAGGGATTGTAGCTAACCAAAATAGGAAGGGTGCGTACAGATGTTATAAAAATGGTTTTGATCTCTTGATCACTATGAGACGAAAAATTAATTAACGGATAGTGATTTCTCAACCTTATTATACTATTATATATTATATTATTATATATTATACTCAACTATTATATTTATATGTTCTTATATTAATACCCACTTACCTCTGGACTCACCCTTTTATACCGACCACCTCTCAATCTCATCTTGATCACAATGAAACCCGCAATTATTTTACATATTGGACGATAGGGACTTTTATGTAACCTATATAATCTTAAGATTAAGAACCAGTTTCCGTCGTGACATACGACAAATATATATGATTTTCCACAGTAATAGGTAGGGATTGTAGCTCACAAAAATATATAGGGTCTGAAAACGGGAAATTATTTACATATTGGAGGATAGGGACTCCTACATATGTTATCCATACAATCTTATGGATAAGAACCTCATTCCAGAACCACAAGGATATATGATTTTCCACTACAATAGGTAGGAATTGTAGCTCACTAAAGTAGGCAGGGTGCGTACAAATTGTATTGATAGAGATCTATCAACATTATCAGTAGGGACTGTTATTATATTTTTTGATGTTCTTATAGTAATACCCATTTTCCCTCGCTACTTGCCCTCTTATATACCGACCATCCCTCCATCACTTCTTGACCGAAATGAATGTCAGAATCAACTGACATATTTTAGGATAGGGACTCCTATGTTATCTATACAATCTTAAGGCTAAGAAACACATTCCCTCGTGTCATACGACCAATATATATGATTTTCCACTATAATAGGTAGGGATTGTAGCTCACTACAGTAGGTAGGGTGCGTACAAATGGTTTGATGTCTTGATCGCTATAAGACGAGGAATTAATTTAGAGATAGAGATCTCTCAACATTATCAGTAGGGACTGCTATTATATTTTTTGATGTCCTTATAGTAATACCCATTTTCCCTCGCGACTTACCCTCTTATATACCGACCATCTCTCCATCTCTTCTTGACCGAAATGCATTTTTGAATCAACTTACATATTTGACGATAGGGACTTTTATTTTATCTAGGTAGGAAAGGTCGGGATTGTAGCTTACGAAAATAGGTAGGGTGCATACAAAAATTGTAGAGACTGTTTTGATCTCTTGATCGCAATGAGAACAGGAATTTATTTACGGATAGTGATTTCTCAACCTTAATCTTAAGATTTGCGGCTACGGACTCTTGTTATCTATAATTTGACCCCCTTTACCTCGTAACATACGACAAGGATATGGGATTTTAAACAATAATAGGTAGGGATTAGCTAACCAAAATAGGTAGGGTGCATAAAAAAATTTTAAAGACGGTCTTGATCTCTTGATCGCAATGAGAACAGGAAGTCATTTACGGATAGGGATTTCTCAACATCGTCAATCCCTCTGATATATCTCTTACACCTCTTCTGATAATATGTTCTTATACTAACACCCACTTTCCCTCATGACGTACCCTCTTATATACCGACAATATCTCCGTCTCTGCTTGACCGAAATGAACCCCGGATTTATAATCTCCAATCTTTCCTTGATCTGAATGAAAACGGGGTTATGCTGACAAATATTACTGTATACATAGCTACCACAAATTCTAAAATTTGTTGAAACAAAGACGGCAGGGCTCATAATAGCATTCATGTGATTTGTGTTTAAGTGAATACGTAAAAATATCAAAACGATAAATTCAATTCTCTGCGAAAATCAAATTTGAAAATTTTGGTAAAATAGTTTCAATAAAAATCGTGATTCCGGCGATGGGTGTTCGCATACTTATAAGTATCGGATAGTATTCGGATACACCTCCACAAACAATTATTGGACCATGAAAGAATACGTTGGAGACCAAATTATGTTACACCATGGATTACAAAGTAAATATGCATTCTCCCGTGAGTTACAGATAGGAAAATAATCCATCAAAATAACTGTCTGAAGAAATGGATAAAGGTATTCTAATTCCAGTCAAATTTAAATGGGACCCAAATCGTACCAGGAAGATTTACGTTAATAGATTACATTCTCGAAATAACATATGCAATGAAATAATGTACACCTCTTCCAAGCAATGAAACAATGGCTACGGTCGCACCTAACATACAAATATTTATGTTTTTATAGTACATACATATGCAAGTTGGAGTATTTGTACTCGTGCAAGTGAAACCACTACACCGCGCAACAATAACAGCACTACACCACGCAACAATAATACCACTGATCCCGCTATTTTCACCATATTCTGAACAGTCCATGTGAGACTGGATAGAAACATTTTTCGGTATAAATCTTCTACTTGCAAAAAGAAAAACCGAGCATTCCAGGAAGTGACGAAAGGAAGCAGGCGGCTTTTACGCCAAGATAGGCGCTCGTTAAATTAGGCTCGTTACGAATGTTATGATCTAAACAAATTTACAAGCTTTTGTCTTATGAATTTAACATCTTCGAACTACCAACTTTCAGCTTGAAACTCTAGTTTGCTTGACTATCTTCCTCAACGCAATCCAACTTTTATTGGCAAACGATAAAGTTTTTATTGATTTCTTCCATTCTATAACCAAAGCGTTGAAAAACTTTGCTTATCTTCTACTCTGTTCTATGTTTTCGAAAATGTATTATGTATCTTACACAAAACTGGAAGAAATGCAGAGACTCATTGTATAATCTGCATAAAAATACTGATTCTTACTGTATGCTTGCTGAAAATTATTTTTGAAATGTATTTATTGGTATGCAATAGACCGCGAGCCTTATCCTCTGACTCATTTATAAGCCTTTTAAAATAAACT